AGAAGGAGGGGAAGCGGTGATGGTCCATTGGGGGGGTGGTGGGGGGGGGGGCCCTAAACAGAAGTTATATTTGGAGGGCCCTCCCTGTCAACGTATCAATATCCGAGTGAGATGACGCACCCACGAGATGGACTATCCAGAGGTCCCTCTAGTGACGTGATCAATCAATTGCAGGGCTATCTATGTAACTTTTTTTTTTTTGCCGGAGAGGCTAAAGCCTATTCTTATTTTTTCACCATTTTGATACTGGTGAAAAAAAAGAGGTCCCATATGAATAACTGCTCAACCCGAGCTATGGTCTAACACTGGTGGTGAGACAAGTCCATAAAGAAGGCCGTCTCTGGTGCAGGCCAATCAGTTTCAAAGACAATGCGTACATTGACTCGAAGCTTTCGGTAAAGTGACTTTACCGAAAGAACCAAAGAGTAATGCACACATTATTATCAGAACATGTTTTGTTTGCATGTTTTGGCCACAGGGACGAGTGGTTAATGCAGACTTGATGCCTTGCAATGTGCCTGTTTGGCGATTGAACATCTGAACACCTCCTGTTTTTTATATTCTTGGTTCTTTCGGTAAAGTCACGTAGAAGGGAAATAATGAAATCATAAAAAATATTCTCACGACGTTTTGACTGCAACACAAGCAATCATCAAATTATTTTATTATTATTTCCCTTCTACATGACTTTACCGAAAGAAACAAGAATTTGAATCCCTGCAGTCACGAAAGCTTTAAATCAAAATTTAAAAACCTCCTGTTTTATTGGCAGAAATGGTAAAGTCAATTGCAGAGCTGCACCTTCATCACCAAGACCTTCGCGAGTGAGATCACAGAAGGCATGCAGACTTCTATTGAGATGATAGGGTGAAGGCAAATGCCAGATGCGGACATCGTGGACGTGAGAGGTGAATGGGATTGTAATGTCCATTAGCCTTTTATGTTTGTTGGGATTTTAGTTGACATTTGATGCACCCCTCGTTTTGTTTCACGAATCCAGCTCCCCGCCCCCCCCCCCCCCCCCCTTTGAGCTACTTGGGGCACTTGGGGCACTACGCTTTAGAGCTGTGTGTTGATGCAATGTAACCATCGGTAGGCTTTCTCGAGCGATATTATTCGTAATAAATGTTTATTTTCTGGCTTTAATCGCCAGCGAAACGTCGTACTCGAATTGTAAATGTTGTGGGTTTACTCTCCAACACACCGGTGTGCTGTACAAGTAACTAATCGGCACGTTCTGTTTACGTGACAAACCTTACTAATTAGGCTTTGTCGGGTGGTGATGGTGGTGGTGGCTTCACGACACATTTATATTTACGCGATCTAACCCAACAAAAAAAATCCCTTATATCAGTATTACTATTACGTGTGTGTGAGCGTGTGTTTATTCCTAGGTCGACTTAGCCTCAAATGAGTACCTGGTGCGGTGTGTAAACCTTGTCACTTGGGAGACAAAGGCAGCCGGACGTGGTGCTGGCCACCCACCCCCTCGTGTGCCGTGCCGGCCTTCGTAGGTGCTCGCTAACAGCACTTGCCCCTACAGTCTGTTACAGGCTACACGGGAGGTCTTTGTATTTTTTGTGTGTATGTTAGTTCCTCGTGCGTATCCACTGCATGGGTTGCTCTGCGTTTGCTCTACTCGGAGCGGCTGTCAAAAGTCCCCGAGTCTAATTTCCCCTCCCCACCACCACTCTCGTACCTCGGCGTTGTCCCCACGAGACTCACGGCCCTGTATACCTAGCCGTGTTAAATATATTATACAGCGGCGTACAGGTGTGTTTCCTCTTCATAGGCGGCAGGTGCCGCCATAAATCAACAGTGAGTTCAGATTGGGTCGCCGATTACAGCCCTTGCAGTTGGAGGACACGAGGCTGGGGGGGGGGGGGCCGCCAAGGAAGTTGAGCTGCTGCCTCTTCTCATCATCCGGCGGCCGCCTGATGATGCTGGTTGCGATCACCGACGAAACGTCGTTACACGAATTGTAAATGCTGCAGTGGGTTTACTCTCCGACACGCCGGTTAGTGCTGGACTAGTAGCGAATTGGCACGTTGCGTTTGCGCGACACAGCCTTGCTAATTAGCCGTGTCGGGTGGTGGGCGGGTTTAACGACACATTTAGATTTAATCGATCCCACCCAAAAACAAAATTGTATTACGAAGCCTCTTCTGTTATTAAAAAACATTTTGTTGCCGAGTTCAGACTTAAAGGCCCCCACGTGCCAGACGGCACAGCAACGTCGAAGTTGGGACTTCGATTTCGAGTCGAACCGCGTTTCTTGAATCGAGTGAGGTTGCTGCGAGAGCTTGGGGGGCACGGTGGGGGGGGGGGGGCACGGTGGGGGGGGGGGCACGGTGGGGGGGGGGGGGGCCAAAGTCGGGCTGCGCGGAAGAGAAAGAGACCTAGGGGTGAGCCGCCGAAGCTGGATTCAGACGCAACAATTTGAACCAACCTGGACGGCATGTGGAGGGTCATGAGCCGCATAAGCTACGGTGCTATGATTAAAGTTTGTACGTGGTGACACACAGATTCAACAACTTGTTCTTCTTCTTTCGTACGGCTGCTGATGTAGGCGCAGAGCATCAACTACAATTTCACATTGAGGGTGGTCAAGCCAGACAACGACCGCGTCCGGAGCAGCGGACTGTATCATCGCCCGCGATGTCCCCTTCGTATTTGTGGATTGGGCGTCGCGTCGTTGTACTGTGTTTCTATGCTCCCACTCCTAGTCTCCCCGCGTTCACCAACTCGCACTGGCCCAGCGTGGCGAAGTGTGGTCAAATAACCCCTCCCTCCTCACCCCCCACAGAGGGCAGGGAAAACCCCCCCATTGTTGTACTGTGTTTCTATGCTCCCACTTCTAGGCTCCCCGCCTTCATCAGCTCGCACTGGCCCAGCGTGGCGAAGTGTGGTCAAACAACCCCTCCCTCCTCACCCCCCTCCCTCAACCAACAACTCCCATGTCATCGGGAGGCCCTCGTCCAGATTGGCAACGAATCGATTCTCGAAAATCGAATTGTGCCCCCGTGAATCCTCACAACGGAGTTTCCGGTTCGGTGGGGTGTGCCAGCCGTGCGCGCCTCCAATGAGAAGTTTGAACAAAATCGCCACTACTCTTAGTTTTTTCGGTAAAGTCACGCAGGTAAAAATTGAAATTAAAATTAATAAAATAAAATAATTATTTATTAATTTAAATTTCATTTTTTACCTACGTGACTTTATCGAAAAAACTAACAGTATGAATCCTTGCAGTCACGAAAGCTTCAAATCTAAAATCGCCACTCTCGAGCGAGTGGCCTGTGGCGTTCACACGCAAGAGCCACCGGCCACAGGGAGGGCTTTCTCTGCGCGACGGCGTTGGCAGTACACAAATATGAACAAAACCTGCACGGCCCTTCTCGGTCTGTCACGTAGTGAACTGAACACTGCCTGGGAGACAGCCCAGCTGATTGAGAAAGAGGGCTCCCAGTATGGATGGGAATCGAAGTTCAAATCCTGGCCAGAGTTAACTGAAGTGTCTTGAAATTATGATGATGATGATATTATCGTCAGCGTCGTCGTAATTTTCAAAACGTTCACCGCCTAATGAGGCTGCGCCAAAGGTGGGTGCAACGATTGCGTCGATTGCAAGCGATTTCGACGCTCAAGATCTGTTGCATAACAATCCATTATTTTACGATGCCCGGTAATTATATTGCGAATCTTACCTTTGGGGCTCCTGAGACGAACAATAATACAATTGAGACGTAGGAAATAAGAACGCGGGAAAAAAATCTGGTCATTAAAGGAATCGTGACCCCCCCCCCCCCCACCCCCCAAATCATGATAGGGCATTCATTCATGACAGGGTGAAGACGAACACTCGTAACGGTTATCCAACGGAGAGACTTGGCAATTATCCTTGCCGCAGTAATGTGGAATTTCCCCCACCGATTCAGTTCTGCCAGGGTACATGCGCACCGGCCGCCTCGCCTTCCCATAACTGAGTTGCTCTGACGAGACCCGGGGTAGCGGTGAGTGACAACCAACTCGCGGAGCCAGCTTTGTCGGTCCATCTTAAATCGACACGCGGTCGGTCATAAGTTGTGACTCGAGCGGGCAGCCCTGTGCCCGACACTGCAACTCTTGTACCTGCTCGTCCTGTAGCCTGTAACGCGGTGCTGCACACAGGCCACGTGTACACATCCCCACGGAAATAATCGAGAGGAATTAAAGAGAGAGAGAGAAAAGAATAAATGTTGTTTCAAATCTTCTACAAGTCTCAATCAACGTAGTTTCCCAGTAGGGAGAGATATTGCCAACTGGTTTGACCCAATTACGCAACACGTGAGCACATCTTGAAATTCGGCAAATTTCGACCGTGATACAGCACCCACAACACGTGGGCCTCACTCTATTTCAAATGACGTCACGGGACCCTTACACCCCCCTCCCTCCCCGCAGTATTAACCAGGGCAGCCGTACGGGCTTGAACCGGCGAAACCTCCGCCACGAGCGGGCGGGCGCTACCCTTTCGCCCCCCCCGGTGACAAATAAGGCTGTAGCCGAGCCGGGAATGCGAAGACTCCCCCCCCCACCACACCCAGCCCCCCACCCAGCCCCCCACCCAGCCCCCCACCCAGCCCCCCCAACCCCCTGAGTCTCGGGAGATGTTTCTTTTTCAAATCCTTTATATTAAGTTCACTTGCCTGCTTGCTTGCGCGCTTACGACCGTGCAAATCTTTCGGTCGTTTTTTAACCCACTTCCCGTGATCCAATCGAGCTGACATTTTGCACACAGACTCGTTGTGCGTGACAATTTATTTTCGTGAAAAAAAATTCCATAATTTTCCACTTTTTAGGGGAAAAAAACGAGTTCATATTTAATTTAAAATACCAATGTGATAAAAATGAAACCCCTACTCAAGAAAAACAGAAATGGATAATAAAATAAAACCGATGCCACGCATATAAAGGATTTATAGTGAAAAACTTTGTTTTTACGGGTTAATTTTTTTACTCACGTCAGCCGCTTTCTTCTCGGCGACCTCAAGCTTCTCCTGGGCGTCCTTGAGGGCCTCCGAGTACTTGTCCAGCTCGTCCTCTGTCCCCTTGAGCTTCTTCTGCAGAGCCACCAGCTCATCCTCGAGCTGCGTGTCGGCGGGCGAGGGAAGGAGGAGGGATGGAGACAATGTCAGGAATAAAACCACCACGAGATAAGTTGTTTTGCAGCGCACACCGGCGTGATGTGGAACAAAGCCACGAATTTTGCGCTTCCGAAATCAAATCAAACCGACAATTGTCGATGTTTGGGTTGCATCTATCCGTGCGGGGCTTGGAGTGTGATATCTGATCGTGGGGTATTCTACGGGTTCTCTGGATTTCTTCCGCGCGAAGCCAATTGATCTTGAGCAGAATTGACCGAACATCCCAATGCAAATAATGTCATCGATGATTTCCCCCCCCTCGTTAACTTATATCGCGTTAAATGACAAACCGATGGGTCACTTTAAATTTATTCGATTGTTTTTTTTTCTTTACAGCCGACCACTCAACTATGAAAGAAAAAAACCTTCACAAAATATTTGTGTCGCCGTTGATAAATGTTTGCGTTGTCTCCTGAAAGTGTCGCTGGAAAAGGGACTCTAAACGAATCTTTAGAAATCCCACGGCTGCGATAGATTTGTTTGGAAACCCCAGTCTTGGTGTCTCCCCACGTTCTATATTTACTGCGTTGAGCAATTCTAAACGAACGCAATTTTATTTCGGGGGGAATTAAAATATCACGACAAAATCTTCCATCTGGACGACCAGATGTGCCTACGCTAAGGGGCCTCTGTGCGATCTAATTCACTCTTACACACACGGATGGGTTATTTATAAACGTGCAAACAAGTAATTGCGTGCGATAAAATAAGGATCGTTTCGCAAATATGACACGCAGCGTCGTACGCGTTACACCGCCCACTGTTTTCACTTCTTCAGCAAGAAGAAGTCGACGAAGAGAAAACATAAATGTCCCCACGTTTTGAATCGCTTGCGATTCTTTCGCCTTGAAAATTTGCGTCCGCGACCCTCCGGCGGTGTTTTCAGGTTGCACCGCGCGGCGTTCGGGGCACGGTGTCCGACGTTTCGTTCCACGCGCGCTGGGAGCTTCTTCAGGACCTCCCCCCCCACCTCAAGTCCGCCAAGCTCCCCAGCACGCGGAGGGAAACATTTCGTGCCCGAACGACGTTTGAGCGACAAAACCCGAAATCACAACCGATAGCTGTGTAATAAGATATCTTAAAACACACACACACTCACACACATGCACACGCACACACATGCACACGCACACACATGCACACACGCACACTCACACACACGCACACACACGCACGCGCACACACACGCACACATGCACACACACGCACACACGCACGCACACACACACGCACACAGACGCACACACACACGCACGCGCACACACACGCACACATGCACACACACGCACGCGCACACACGTACACACACACGCACACACAATGCACAATAAGCGAGCACAACTCTGCCGGCAAATACATAACTAAGAGTCGACGATCATGGCCCAAAAGAGCAGCGTCTTTGGTCTCACGCAACACGTGGGCGATGGCTCTGCTCGGAGCGCATGAAACCATGAAGACAACTCACGAGCTGGAAGAATGGTGGGGGGGTCTGGCACAAATGATCGCTCGACCCGACGGGAAGAGGTGAGACTCTACCTGCTTGGTCTTCTCCTCCGCCGCCTTCTTGTCCGACTCGGCCTGCTCGGCTCTGTCGATGGCGTTCTCCTTGTCCAGCTTCAGCATCTGCATCTTCTTCTTGATGGCGTCCATGGCTGCGGCTGGTGATGGTGGGCAATGTGCTCACGCGACGAAAGTGAGGAGGATGAGGGACGATTGACGGCTTCGGACCGTGACTTGGCCGGCTGCGGCTCAGCGAGGCGAGTGAACGGAGCAAGCCAAGGTGCCGTGCAGATAAGCGCAGGGCAGGGAGGGTGGGGAGGCGGGGACCTCTGATCTGACCGCCCCCCCCCCACCACCATCACCACCTTCCTAAATCTAAAGGACATTTTTGGAAGTGGCCGCGTCAGTGGCCCTGCCGGCCTATGGGAATGCGGCAAAGGGCCCGAGCGCCGTCCGGGGTCGCGTTGCGCGCTATTTCGTCGGCGAGTGGACGCTGCGGTGCCCGTAAACGGAACGGAGGGGGGTGTGGGTGCGTCCTGATTGACGGGCACAAGAGGCCAACCCACCAACAGCACCACCACCAGCACCAACACCACCAGCACCACCACCCAACCAACAAAATCAACCGGCCGACCGTTCCGACCCCACCCGATCCCCACCCCACGACGGCCGCTACCTCGACCCCCCCCGCCCCCCCGGGGGGGCACCGTGACCCTCGGCGTGCACAGGGAGTCCCGTCTGTGTTACTGCGGCCGTGTAATCGTGGCCGTGTAACGCTACGCCAATCTTGCGGGTCCGGCACACACAGAGATAGAGAGAGAAACGTCAAGCCTTCCACTTGTGACATCTAATTTATTTTGGAGATTAACCCCCACCCCCAACCCCCAACCCCCACCCCCCACCCCAACCCCCACCCCCACCGCAAGACACCACCACCACCCCCCACCCAGCTAGAGTTCGTGACATACCCAAAAAGACAAAGATCCCCCGTGTAGCCTTAACAGACTGTTGGGGCAAGTGCTGTTAGCGAGCACCTATGAAGGCCGGCACGGCACACGAGGGGGGTGTGGTGGCCAGCAACCACGCCCGGCCGTCTTTGTCTCCCCAGTGGCGATGTTTACACACAGCTCCAGGTACTCGTTTGAGGCCGAGTCGACCTAGGGGAGACCCAGGACCGGTTCGGATAATCGTCACTGGCGTTGACCGTGAGCGGGAATCGAACTCGGGTCGCGGGGTTCTTAGCGCAGCGCGCTAACCGCTACACCACCGCTCCACACACACACAGACACACACACACAGAGACACACAAACACTCATCCGAAATACAAAATGTTACCACCCAGGCCCAGTAGAACGGAACACACGGCGCGGAACGAATAAGGCGGGCGGCGATATTATGTTGGGTGGCTGGGGGCGGTGGATTTGTCTGAGCTTAGTTTGGCTGTCGGAGGCGAAAGCAACCACTTTGCGCATTAGATGCGAACCCTGGAACGCCGTCGTTCGTGCCGGCACACAGCCATCGTGTAAGATATACACAAGATTATTATTGGACATTAACCGCAAATTCCCCAATGTCCTCTCGTAATGAAAGAAAATCCTCGCAATGTCTGAAACCTACGCTACTTTTAATTGGATCGATAGGCTGAGTATACGGCCACCTAAATATATGCTCAACGTGAAGACGTACACACAGAGAGATTATAAAAACGTATAAATAAACATACACGGTGCTTGATTTTCAATGGATATGCTGCATATGGGTCGCCCGGTAGATCGGAGTCGGGGCGACACGGTGTCGAGATGTTAACTACCTCGCCTGGTATACAGGAGGTCGTGGGTTCGATCACGACCCTGACACTTGTTGTATATTTAGAGTTTGCGGTGTCTCTCTCTCTCTCATCATCATCACAGTGGCTAGGAGATGTTAACTACCTCGCCTGGTATACAGGAGGTCGTGGGTTCGATCACGACCCTAAAACGTGTATATTTGGAGTTTGCGGTGTCTCTCTCTCTCTCTCATCATCATCACGGTGGCTAGGAGATGTCAACTACCTCGCCTGGTATACAGAAGTTCGTGAGTTCGATCCCGACTCTGACACCTGCTGTATATTTGGAGTTTGCGTCTCTCTCTCATCATCATCACGGTGGCTAGGAGATGTTAACTACCTCGCCTGGTATACAGGAGGTCGTGGGTTCGATCACGACCCTGACGCCTGTTGTATATTTGCAGTTATGTTCTTCCCCGTGGTCGCGTAGATTTTTCTCCGGGTCCTCCGGTTTTTCCCTCCACGTTTCGAAACAACATCACCACGCGTTTAGAGTATTCGGGCTGCTATACATTTCCACTTGATAAGCCACTTCGTCGAGCCATCATTTGTGGCCAGGTGGCTTCTGAAAATGAGCCACGTTTCGCTGCGTGGGCCTTATCTGGCAAAAATAAAAAATAGTTCAGCCAAAGTGGCACGGTGGCGAGTAGGCATGGCCATAACGAGATGCACGAACGACGTGGTGTGCCGGGAGTATAAATATTTTTCTGGGTTACGGAGCACAGCTAAAATTAGGCCCAATATTTATATACGCACATGTATATATATATATCCACACATTGAGAAGTGTTTAGGTAACGTTTATCTCCGTGTTGGTCCATTAGCAGTCGTGGGACCCACAAGACTGTGAATTGAATTTCGCTCCTCCGGGGAGGGTCCCTGCCCTCTGCTTTAACGCGCTGATATAAGCACGGAGGAATGTGGATCCAGCAGCCGCGTTCACCACCAGGACTTCGCTTCAGCCGGGTCTTTCCGGGTCGGCCGGCACACCACATCGAGTATATCCGTGGCTTCTTCGGCTGCGGCCACTGCTGTGGTCCCGGTGCGGGCAGTGCGCGTTGCCGGCACAATGCGAAATCAAAACCCGGAGAAGCTTGCTGAGCTGAATGGAGTTCAAAGGAACTCGCAAATAAACACTTCGTGAAAGACCCCACGCAGGCGATCTCCTGGGGTTGGATCTTCCACGAAGCTGCTCACGGTCCACCCTAAACCGCATCCGCTGCACAAACCGTGGCAATAGATGCGGACACCCTGATGCACAAATAGAAAATTAAAAACTCTACAGTCAAATTTCGATTTAAAGCTTTCGTGACTGCATGGATTCATCTTCTTGCTTCTTTCGGTAAAGTAACGTAGAATGGAAATAATAAAATAATAAAAGTAAAACATAATAAAATAATTCTCACGACGTTTCGGCCACAACAGGTCTGTCGTGAAGACATGTTCTCCACCTGAGGACGGCTGCTTGCGTTGTGGCCGAAACGTCGTGAGAATTATTTTATTATGTTTTATTTGTATTATTTTATTATTTCCATTCTACGTGACTTTACCGAAAGAACCAAGATGAACTCCCCAGTTGTAGTGGTGCGACTGTGGTCATCCAGAACAGACCGGGCAACGTGGAACGACGGAGTAACCCCGATCCACAAACACGAAGGCGATGCACGCCGCTGCTCCTGACGCTGCTGTTACCCGGCTTGACCACCCTGAATGTGAAATTGTGGTTGTCGCTCTGCGTCGACGACATCAGCAGCCGTACGAGAGAAGAACACGATGCCAGCTCACGGTTTACCAGCTACTCGGGCATGAATGCTGGCTCCCGGCACACCGCATCAAGTATACTCCTCTCTCTCTCTGTGTCTCTGTGTATCTCTGACTGCTGTGGCTACGAGTCACGGTGCCGGCGCGTGGCTCTTAACAGGTACTCGGGAAAATTAATGGAGGCTCCCGGCACACCACGTCCAGGATACATCTAACCTCGGCTGTGGCTCACGAGTCACAGCGCGACCTCGTGGATTTGTCAGCTACCCCCCCCCCCCCAAAATGTTTTAAAAAAAAATATTTGGTGGGAAAAATGTCAAGCCGTGCTCAGCACCCCCACTATACCCGTGTGTGCATGCACGCGCGCGTGCGGAGCGGTGGTGCCGCGGTCAGCGCGGCTGCGCTACGAACCCGGCAGAGAGCCGAGTTCGATTCTCGCTCACGGCCGCAAACACCGGCGACGGAATATCCGAGCCGGTCATGGGCCTTCGCCTAGGTCGGCTCAGCCTCAAATGAGTACCTGGTGCGGTGTGTAAACATCACGCCACTGGGGAGACAAAGACGGCCGGGCCGGGCGTGATGCTGGCCACCCTCCCCCTCGTGTGCCGTGCCGGCCTTCATAGGTGCTACTCGCTAACAGCACTTGTCCCAACAGTCTGTTGAGGCTATAGAGAACTATACTATACACTACTATACACTACTACACACGACTATACACTACACTATACACTATTAGACTGTAGACTATACTATACACTACACTATACACTACACTATACACTTCTACATTCTAGACTCCACTATAGACTACTACATTATACACTACACGATACACTACTATACATTACTATACACCACTTTCCACTACTATACACACTACACTACTATACACTATACACTACTACACACTATACATTACTACACTACTATACACTACTACACTACTATACACTACACTACTACACTATACACTACTACAATACACTATACACTGCTATACACTACTATACACTACACTATACAATACACGACTATACACTACACTATACACTACTTTACACTATACATTACACTATACACTACTACACACAGACTCTATCTCTTCCTGGGGGAATTCCCAGGCGTCCCCAGGCAAGCCGAGCGACGTCGTCCCGACACCACCAGCAGCAGCCGCGTGGTCCTGGGCCGGCCCTGGGGGTCTCCGCCAGCGGTGCCACATCGCTGCTGCTGCTGCCCGGTAGAGTCCCAGGGGGGGGGGGGTCTACCGGGGTGGGGGCATCCTCACCAGGTGCCCGAACCACCTCGACTGGCTCCTCTCGATCCGCAGGAGCAGCGGCTCGACTCTGCGGCTCTCCCGGATTCCCGAACTCCTCATCCGAGCACGGAGAGTTGGCGAGACCCGTCAACCACGCGGATGAAAACCTCACTTCTGCCCCTTGTACCTACGACCTCATCATTTCGGTCATTACCACCCAAAGCCCATAACGATGATGATGACGAGGATGGCGATGAAACTACACTGGGCCCTCACCTCTCGTGAAATAATAGCCGCCGGCCGGTCAAGGTTTGCTGTTGCCGGCGCGCGTCCCACACCCGATGAAGCCCGCTGCCGCAGCTGTCCGAGTGTGTAGGCAGTGCAACTGCGCGTGGGAAGGGCTCAGGTGCCCCAAGTTAAGACGTCTGAGTTGCGG